CAGAAATAGATCAGATCGCCGATAGAATCTCCGAGGAGATGCAACCCACGCTTTTCGCAGCCAACAACACACGCATCGCGACATACGGTTCCAAATGGCGTTGGGCAATCTCCCAGATCTGGAGAATCAGAAAAGTTAAAAGAACTTGAGAGGTTCGAGATTGTTTTCGGACTAAGGATTTGTCGTGCTTCGCTAAAGGACAATCTGCGCATTGTCGTGTAATAGCGAACTTCCTTCTGTTCGACAAACTTTGGGCAGAGTTTCGAGGATGTCCTATGTGGGGACCTTTACAATTCAGGCAAGTTGGGGAATCCGAGGTTTGGGGACATTTGTTTCAATCATCGTGTGGGGTTGTGCTATCGCAATATTGGCATCTAGCTTTAGATTGGCAATTTTTCAAGACGCATGCATATCCCCTAATCGCCAAGTCGTCAAATGATCAAATAGTCGAATGCCAAGTAATCGAATGGACAAAACGTCGAATGCTAAAAACATCGAATCGGCATTTAGTCGAATGCTTAAAACATCGAATTGTCAATACGTCGAATTATCAATTCGTCGAATATTAAAAATATCGAATCGTCAATATGACGAATGTTCAAAACGTCGAATTATCAATTCGTCGAATGTTAAAAACATCGAATTGTCAATACGTCAAATGTTCAAAACGTCGAATGATAAAAACGTCGAATGCTAAAAACATCGAATCGTCATGTAGTCGAATGCTAAAAATATCGAATCTTCAGTTAATTGAATGCTAAAAACATCGAATTCTCAATTCGTCGAATGTTCAAAACGTCGAATGTTTAAAACGTCGAATGCTAAAAACGTCGAATGTTCAAAACGTCGAATGCTCAAAACGTCGAATCGTCATTTAGTCGAATGGTAAAACCATCGAATAGTCCATTCGTCGAATGCTTAAATAGTCGAAACGCCATCTGTTCGAATTATCAAGTAGGAGAATGGTAAAGTTGTCGAATGTTCAAAACATCGAATCGTCATTTAGTCGAATGCTAAAAACATCAAATCTTCATTTAATCGAATGCTAAAAACATCGAATTTTCCATTCGTCGAATGTTCAAAACGTCGAATGATCAAAACGTCGACTGCTAAAAACATCGAATTTTCAAATCGTCGAATGCTCAAATAGTCGAAACGCCATCTGTTCGAAATGTCAAGTAGTAGAAAGGTAAAGTAGTCGAAACGCCATCTGTTCGCATTGCCAAGTAGTAGAATGGTAAAGTAGTCGAATGTTCAAAACGTCGAATGATAAAAACGTCGAATGCTCAGAACATCGAACTGTTGATTCGTCGAATGCTCAAAACGTGGAATGATAAAAACGTCGAATGCTAAAAACATCGAATCGTCAAAAGTTCGAAAAAGTTCTTTGTTTTAAGTTAATGTCTGCTGAAGACAAATAACTTTTTCGAACTTTTGACGATTCGATGTTTTTAGCATTCGACGTTTTTATCATTCGACGAATTAACAGTTCGTGTTACGGTATAACCTCACAGTTAAAAAAATAAAATGAAGGAAAAATTATTAAAATTAAAAATTATTTTAATAATCCTATAAAATATTTCTCGCGAGTAATATAATTGAAAGGTGATATCCTCGATATCACCAATCATAAGCTGCGTCAGCATCGCATCGGAAACAAAGTTGGCTTACTTGAGCATATTTCTTTATAACTAACAAAAGGTTAGTTAATAATAAATTTTATGAATTTCAGGAAATCACCGAATACTAAAATAAAATTTTCACTTGCAATGATGTGCAGTATTTATAATTAATTACCGGTAATAACGATTTCTGATGGGCGCAGTAACATGCAGCTCCAAACAAATTATTGTCTATAATTTAAAAGAATTAATTTTTTTTTTCATCGACAAAACACTCTAAATTTCCCCGAAATTGTTCTTCTTCAATTCCAGCCGACGTAAAATGCAAAATTGAGAAACAACATGCATTTTCTCCTTGAAATATTAAATAAAACCTGTTGAAAGTATTTAAATCAGAATGGCAGCTACTTAAAAGTAATAATAAACCTTGCGGCAACATTCCCATTTGAAAAACTAAAACGGCAATGTTGCGAATGTTGCAACCCATAAAACGAAGCTTGCGGCATCTGCCTGAACAGTTTCCACTAGGTCGCAACATTCTCATTTTTAAAAACTATGTATAATAATTTTGCGAATGTTGCGAACCGTAAAATGAAGCTTGCGGCATCTGCCTGAACAGTTTCCGCTGGGTCGCAATATTCCCAATTCAAAATTAATGTACGAAAATCTCATAAACACTTAAACACGTTTCCATGATTAAAGGTCGAACGTATGGGTTATGTGTGCACATTTCGCGACAGCGAAATAATCTAAGAAAATTTTGCTGTAATTTTATAATTGTGATTCGCATATTTTGTTGTAAAATTAATATGTTGTCAAAATAACTAAAAAGATATTTAAATTGTTTTATAAAATAAAATAGTAAATGGAATTAAAGGTAAAGAAATAAAATAATCCGTAATTATATCGCTTAGACCTATACATCTTCGGATGGCTATGGCAATGCACACGCATACATACGAACTCTTTGGGACAATGCTAACTGTGGCGACTCGCACACAGACGTACTATGCATAGTACATACCACTCACACATTGTAAGCCTTCACTCGTTGCTTCTTCTCCTTCGTTGCATCCTTCCCTCTTCCCCTGGGCCCTATGTGCTTGCCAAACAAACGCACGTGCGATGATTCAAGCTGGATATTAATTCTTTTTAAAGTACAACGAAATAAATTAAAATTATTTATTTCAGAAATTATTTGCAGAATTAAAATTTAAAAGATGTTTCTGGAATTGCCAAAATAATTACAACTTGAACATTATTATGAACACTATTGCGTTGTTACTGATAAATAATTTTAATTAATTATTTATAACAATAATAGCAATAAACAAAAAAAAATTTTTTCAAATAAATTTTTTTTCTTTTTTTTCTATAGTTCATGATTGGAATTATTGGAAATAATAATTCTTCAAAAAGTATCATATTTCTGCAAACTAATTTCCGGTCTCACGCCTAGCACAAGATCCCAAAGTCAGCAAAAATCGCATCGACCAATGGGCCTAAAGTTCCTATCCCACTTCTACTCCCACAAACCACCTCTTCTACCCCAAAATCTTTCCCCAGATTTAGAAGCGAGGAGTAAAGGCTTAGAAAGAATTTTCCAAATTCGCAGTACAATTTTCGCCTTGTTAGTCAGCTCCTCGCGGAGGCATAAACGCATTGCGTATTGCCGGGACTCGCCCGTCTGTTAATCGGCCCCTTGTCTAAAAAGACCGCTACAAGATAGTGTCTAAGATTTTAGGACAGACGAAAATAAATAAAAAGGCAAAAGCTTCACAAGTGAAGCCCGACCCAATTTAATTATTTTTCGTTTCCTTAAAATTTTAAATACTAATTTTGGATTCGAATCAATAATTAAATCCAACAAAAGATAAAACTTCAAAATTAATTAAAGGTGTTAATAATAAATTCAGTGCGTGTGTGTGCGTAAAGTTTAAAATTTCCCCTTTTCCTTTAAGTTTTATTCTTGCGTGCATTTGCCTAGGTTACCCGAAATTAAGGCCTAAGCAAATTCGTACAAAGACAATTGAGAATCTTCGCCCGCCGATCATCTCAAAACTCAGGCGGTAGTAAATAAGAAATTTATGTTTAAAAGAAGAGAGGGTGAGTTTTTGAATACTGTATCGTTCCTTTTTACTTTTCTCTCTTTGTATTTTTCTGTAATGATTTTCTTATTCTTGGTTTAAAATAAATTGTACTTTTTATTTGAAATCTTGTTCTCTTTAATGTCTTTATATTTGATCTCTGTTATCATCATTTTACTAAATTAGAAAAAGGTGTTGCTTGGTAAATTCTTTTAAAAGAGAAAAACGGATCCCATAAATTAAAAACAGGGCCATCCGGCCCTGTCAGCTTGATTCCTCCAGCGAACCTCCGCAGGCGCGCGGTAGAATTTCTTTTCATCGCTCGACAAGTAAATTTCATATTTCAAAGTTTTGATATCTGGATTTTTTTTCTTCAAATTTAATAATTTAATAAATAATTATTTTTCGGTTCGTAACAGTTCGATGTTCTGAGCATTCGACGTTTTTATCATTCGACGTTTTGAACATTCGACTACTTTACCATTCTACTACTTGACAATTCGAACAGATGGCGTTTCGACTACTTTACCATTCTACTACTTGACATTTCGAACAGATGGCGTTTCGACTATTTGAGCATTCGACGATTTAAAATTCGATGTTTTTAGCATTCGACGTTTTGATCATTTGACGTTTTGAACATTCGACGAATGGAAAATTCGATGATTTAAGCATTCGATGAATTAACAATTCGATGTTTTGAGCATTAGACAAATTGATAATTCGACGTTTTGAACATTCGACTACTTTACCATTCTACTACTTGGCAATTCGAACAGATGGCGTTTCGACTACTTTACTAAGTTGTCGTATACATAAGTTTATATGTAAATCAGATTGATATAATAAATTATAGTTGAGTTTTATAATTATATTTGATAATTAATCCCGAACACTAAAAGGATATATATAATAATTGAATTGTGTAACCATATCCCACAATTGGTGACTCCGACGTGATCGGGATGACATCGGATTTTCAATCTACCTTAATCCAAGTTGCTAAGTGCAATCCGATTTTTATTTCAACTTTTTTTAAAACAAAAAAATTTTTCTATTAATTTGGTTACAAAATTTACGACTTTTTCGTAATAAAAACTGTGAATTTTTCGACTCAAAAATACGACCACATGTTGAGCTGAGGACCGCCATTTTTGTATGTGCGACAAGACGACAACCTTCATCAGGAGTTCTCCACATTTGTTGAATCCTGAGAGATTTTATTCGACCGATTCAGTTTTGGAAAACATCGACTCTTAATTACGACAAAATTTGAAACGCACTTGTTCGTATGAACGAGGCTCCTAACTACATGGTTGAACGAGACAGCATCGAGCCGTTGACTCGGAACTGGAGACAGTCACTCAGCCTCGAGGAATTTCTGATTGAGTTCCTGATGGCATCGTTCACGCTTTTGGGCATATTTTGGTGAGATAGCTGCTCAATTTTTTTTCGCTTTTTGAAAACGGCGCATGGGCACTCACTACTCTGAGCCCATGCAGCAGGTGCGTAACGCATATACCTGTTAACGTAACGCATTAACCTGTTTTTAACAATATAACAGTTTTCACTTTCCTTTCCCTTATGATTTTTCCTCTTTCATGAGAATTTTCTGTTGACGTCTGCTATTCACGATATCTGGAGGTTTTCCCGGGGACCTTGCCGAGAATTTTTCTACATTCTCAACACCAACCGATGATTAATTTCGATCGAGAAAAATTTCTTTTCAAAACGCAATTTTACCTTCGTATAAATTTTATAGTTTCAAAATTTTATTTCGAGTTAATTTAAATGTAAATAAATTTTTGTTTCGGATTTCAATACGTATAATATTTGTGTTTGAATTTAAGCATTGACTGCTTTGTTTTGAGACGATCAATTTATTTGAAAGTTCTAACCTTTTTTGGAGTGCGATGTCATTCAAACTATCGGTGATTTAATAACGTCGACTGAACCTATTCCAAATCTTTATACAGAGATCAAAAATAGATTAATTGAAAGTTATTCTCAATCCCCCGAAAGTGAACTTCGAAAAATTTTAAAGGGAGAAATTTTGAGTGACGGAAAGCCCTTGGTGATTTTGAGTAGAATTCGACATTTAAGCCGTAATCGTTGTAGTGACGAAGTCATCCGCGCGATTTTCATTGAACAGCTTCCAGCGAATTGTCGTGCTATTCTCGCCATGTCTGAAACTAGTGATCTTGCAAAACTTGCTATAATCGCAGATAGAATCGTGGACGTCGGGGGTTGGTCGTCAACTGCGGTAGCATCGGTTGATAGGCGCGATGATCTTAATTCTAAAATTGATGAATTAACTAGTCGGATCGAGTCTCTTTCAATCGAAACTCACAGAGAATCGCGTAATTACAATCGAGATCATTCAAGATCTCGATCTCGTTACCGATCTATGTCAAGAAATCCCAATGAAAACAATAATAAAAAGAAACCGGGCAATAAGAACGATAACGATAAGAAATGTTTTTATCATAAAAAATTCGGCAACGACGCATTAAAATGCAGACCACCTTGCTCATTTAAAAAAAACTAAATACACCACCTCACACAGACAGGGTTGATATAAATTACGATTCGAAACGCCTTTTTATCAGAGATAGAAAAACTGGAATGGTATTCCTTATTGATTCTGGTTCTGATATTTCATTGATTCCTGCCGATCACAAAACCAGAAAACGACCTGTCGAATCCGTACTTTATGCAGCGAACAGTTCGCTCATAAATGCGTATAGTCAGCGTCGTCTTTCTTTAAAAATTGGTCTTCGTCGATCGGTTTCTTGGAATTTTTGTATAGCATCGGTACCCTATCCGATAATCGGGGCCGATCTATTATCGGCACATGGATTAAATATCGATCTTCGTAATCGCAGATTGATTGACTCTCAGGACGGAGTTGAGACAATCTGTGATTTTAGAGTAGCTCCCTGTTGTGGGGTGAGTGTGGTTAACATATCAACATCGTACTTGAAAATTATCGCAGAATTTCCATCAATTACCGGTTTACCTCAAGCGGATAAAATATTGTCGACCGGTGTAATGCATCATATCATCACAAATGGTTTACCCGTAGCGGAGAAAGCTTGCCGGTTATCACCTGAAAAACTCATTTAGGCTAAAAATTTTTTTCAATCCGCAATTAAATCCGGAATATGTCGCGCTTCTAGTGTATCGTGGGCGTCGCCAATTCATATGACTTTGAAAAAAGACGGAGAGTGGAGAATTTGTGGGGAATACCGTCGCGTTAATTCTAAAACCGAACCGGATAAATACCCGGTACCCCACATTCAAGACGTATCAGCAATTCTTTTCGGCAAAACGATTTTTTCGAAATTGGATTTAGAGGCCGCATACAATCAGATTCCCATAGCGCCCGAAGATATTCCTCAGACGGCCGTTATAACACCTTTTGGCTTATTTGAATATACTGTAATGACATACGGTTTGTGAAACGCGGGCCAGACGTTTTAGCGATATATTTTTAAAGTTCTGGGAGATCTTGATTTCGTGTTAGCGTACGTCGATGATGTACTCATCGCTTCCTCAAGCGTGGAGGAGCATGAAAGACATCTGAGAATTGTTTTTAATAGACTTGATAAAGCATTTCTTCGCGTGAATTTAAAAAAATGTTCTTTCGGTCAAACGGAGATGGAGTTTCTTGGATTTTTGATTAATAAGGATGGAATTAAACCCCTACCAGAGAAAGTTAAGGCAATTCTTGAGTTTCCGAAACCTCAGACCATTCTTAAGCTTAGACGATTTTTGGGACTTATGAATTTTTATCGTAGAAATTTACCAAACGCGGCGAACGATCAGGGACCTTTAAACGATTTTTTGCATGAGTCAAAGAAAAATGATAATAGAAAAATTCCATGGGATCCTGTCTCGGAGAAGGCTTTCGAAGATTGTCGTCGGAGTATTGCTAATGCCGCTCTTCTCGTGCATCCCGCACTTAATGCCCCAATTCGTGTTGTGACGGACGCGTCAGATTACGGAATGGGCGCTGCCCTTGAACAATCTCAAAACGGTATTTGGTCTCCATTGGCAATTTTTTCTCGACGATTTAGCGATACTCAAAAGCGTTATAGTACATACGATCGCGAATTAACAGCAGTTTTCGAGGCAATTAAATATTTTAAGCATTTCCTCGAATTTTTGAAATTTACCGTGGTTACTGACCATAAGCCGTTAATATATGCTTTCTCTCAGAAGTCGGACAAAGCATCGTTGCGTCAACAAAGACAATTATCATTTATATCTCAATATACAACATCTTTCGAATATATTCCGGGAAAGAATAATATTGTCGCGGATTGTCTGTCTCGTGTCGACTTGATTCGTTTGGCGTCGGATGTTAGCTTGACGGAATTGTCTGAAGCACAAAAAAATGACTCTGAATTGATGAATCTTTTTGTAGAAAATAACACCAGTCTTAATCTCAAACGAATGCTCTGGGGTCCTGATCACACCCCGGTCATTTGTGATTTATCTGGAGAAATTTTGCGTCCATATATTCCTAAAATTTTTCAAAGACGAATATTTGACATTTTTCACAATCCTGCACATCCTAGTGCAAAAATTTCTGGAAAAAATATTAGTAAGAGTTATGTTTGAAAAGATATGAACAAGCACATTCGCGAATGGTGCAAAACCTGCTTATCTTGTCAGAAAGCAAAGATATCCAGACATAATATTGTACTTCCATCTCATTTTGTGGCTCCCGAGGATAGGTTTCGACACGTTCATATTGATATCGTCGGCCCAATGACTTCTTGCGACGGTTATATGTAGATATCTTTTGACGATGATCGATCGTTTTTCACGTTGGGTTGAGGCTGTTCCCTTGAAGGACATCGAGGCAATAACGGTTTATCGCGCCTTTGTTGATGGTTGGTTGTCTCGTTTTAGGGTCCCGGAGAAGGTCACGACGGATCAGGGAAGTCAATTTGAATCACTCATTTTTAGATCATTGCTTCAAATGTCTGGTTGTTATCGTACTACGGCGTATCACCCTGCCGCTAACAGAATAATCGAGCGATGGCATCGTACTCTGAAGGCGGCCCTGATGTGTCACAATGGTGAGAAATGGATTCGCGTTTTGTCAACGGTTTTACTTGGTTTGCGCACCAACGTTTTCGATTCGGGAGCTTCGCCTGCGGAATATTTATACAGAACAACATTGAAAATTCCGGGTGAATTTATTCTTCCGGAGGAATTCGTTCCAAATCCTCAAATTTTCCTTGAAGAATTTCGCGAGAACATTAGACTTGTTAAACCTGTTCCGGTCGAACATAAACATAAAAGGAAAATTTTTGTTCACAAGGATTTGAATACGTGTTCTCATATTTTTTTGCGCCTTGGACGAATAAAAAAATCCCTAGAGTCACCATATTCGGGACCTCATAAAATAACTAAGAGAATTTCCGATCGAATTCTGGAAATTGATGTTAATGGTATTAAGAAAAATGTGTCGATTGAAAATGTTAAACCCGCATTTTTCGCACGCGAAAATCTAACAATGCAAAGCTGGTATGCAAGCGATAATCCTTCGTCGAGTAGTTCTCCTTTTGATGTTGTGATTTCTTCGCCGGACAATATTGTCCAAACGCCAATGAACAATACTCCTCTCAATAGTGATAATTCTAATCAAAACCACGAAAGTATTCAATTACCTAAATTAAGAACTTATACTAATAAGAAGAAAAAAGTTACTTTTAATTTCGCGAATGATTCAGATCATACTTATTCCTGCGCAGGAAAATAATGTAAAAATTAGTATATATATTTTTTTATAATGTAAATTTTATTCATAGCGTAAAAAGAAAATTTTTTATTTTTTTACTCGGGGGGGAGTATTGTGAGGAAATAGTTATTTGAATTTCCCTCTCGAACCCCTCCAGCGAGGAGTGGGGATTGTGTGAATGTACATGTGTATGCTTGGCTATTGTCATTACTATTTTCGGAGTCTCGAGACTAAGTTGTCGTATACATAAGTTTATATGTAAATCAGATTGATATAATAAATTATAGTTGAGTTTTATAATTACAGTAGAACCCGGTTAATACGCTCCCGTTTAATACGATTTCCCGCTTAAGACGCTCATTTATGATGGTCCCTGCAATTAAAGACATATTTTCATACATTTTATCACGTTTAATACGCCAACGCAGCACTGCTACAACATCTATCCGCGACTTACATGTTGTCTTACACTATATCTGTCGGTATCGGCAAGCAACTCAGTGCAAGTAGCGCTAAGCATTCACTTAATTAGTTTGCTTGAAGACCACCATTGTCGCTGTCTGCGGTCTTTTGTTTATGTCAGTATCTAACCTCTATTCATTGAAAAATGTCAACACCAAAGCGAAAAGCGTTATCTCTCCAAGAAAAAGCGAAGATATTGAAGCTTTATGGTGAGAAATCTCAAACACAAAGTCAAACAAATTTGGCTATTGAATTTGATTTACCAGTTTTTACGTTACGCACCATTTTAAAGAGTAGAAATGAGATTGAAGAAGAATGTAGGTCAGGTGGAGCGAAAAGAAAAAAGTTGAAGACAGGAAAGTTTGAGAAATTAGAGGGAGTTTTAGTGGATTGGTTTCATCAAGCAAGGGCTTTAAAAATTCCGATAAGTGGTCCTATTTTATGTGAAAAGGCACGTGAAATTGCCGCCGGTTTACAAATCACAGATTTCACTGGTTCCACTGGTTGGCTTGATCGCTTTAAAAATCGCCACGGTATTGTGTACCGTCAAATCAACGGAGAATCTGAATCTGTGTCCGAACAAGATGTCGATACATGGAAGACAATGCTTCCTGCAATGTTGCAAAATTATGAACCTCGAGATATTTTCAACGCTGACGAGTTTGGATTGTTTTTTAAATTAATGCCCAATAAATCGCATGTTTTCAAAGGGGAAACTTGTCATGGAGGTAAAGCCAGTAAAGAAAGGCTAACTGGTTTGGCGTGTTCAAACTCTGATGGATCTGAAAAATTACGTTTGCTAGTCATTGGTAATTCAAAGAAGCCACGTTGTTTTAAAAACGTAAAATCATTACCTGTAGAATATGATGCCCAATCTCGAGCCTGGATGACTGGTCCACGTTTCATTAAATGGATAAAAGCTTTAGATGACCATTTTCAAAGCAAAAGTAGACAAATAATTTTGTTCATTGATAACTGTCCTGCTCATCCCAAAGATGTGGAGCTAACGAATATCAAACTCGTTTTTTTACCTCCAAATGCTACAAGCAAATTACAGCCCATGTATCAGGGCATTATAAAAGTTGTCAAACAGGGTTATAGATCGCGTCTGGTTCATCGCTATCTAAAAGAAATGGAAGCCCCTGATTGCAAACAGCCAGTAAATGTTCATGACGCGATATTGTATATTGCAGCTGCATGGGATGAAATTAAAAAATAAACCATTGAAAATTGTTTCACAAAAGCAGGATTTCGAAGCAACGACTACGTTATCATAGAAGAAGAATCAGAACCAAACATTTTGCCAGATTTTCCTGAGTATTCTTCGATCGATGATGACGTTTTAACTTACGAAGTGAGTTCACTTCAAGACCTTGTGGACGATGCTAAGAACATGGAAGAGGTACCCGAAAATGATGACGATGACGAAGATGAACCTATTCCAATATTGTCTAATTCTCAAGCTTTAACTGCAGTAAACGATTTAAGGCGTTTCTTTTCTTCACTGAGTGACAGTGCAGATGGATTTCAAAAATTAAATTACATTGAAAATATTATTATTTCCAATTCATCAAAATCGTTGTCACAAAAAAAATATGATTATTTCAAGTAATTTGAGAATATTATGTGATTATATTGTAACTTCCAAAGATGTAAATGTTTCTTATTAAATAAATGAATATATAGTACATTTTTGGGGCTTTCCCGCCTAATACGTTTTCCCGCTTAAGACGCATTCTTAACGCTGTCCCTAGAGAATCGTATTAACCGGGTTCTACTGTATATTTGATAATTAATCCCGAACACTAAAGGGATATATATAATAATTGAATTGTGTAACCATATCCCACATAAGCATTCGACGATTTGAGAATTAGATGTTTTTAGCATTCGACGTTTTGAACATTCGACGAATGGAAAATTCAAAGATTGAAGCATTCGATGAATTAACAATTCGATGTTTTGAGCATTAGACAAATTGATAATTCGACGTTTTTGAACATTCGACATGTTGACGATTCGATGTTTTTAGCATTCGACGTTTTTATCATTCGACGTTTTGAACATTCGACGAATTGAGAATTCAATGTTTTTAGCATTCGATTAAATGAAGATTCGATGTTTTTAGCATTCGTCTAAATGACGATTCGATGTTTTGAACATTCGTCAACTTTACCATTCTACTACTTGATAATTCGAACAGATCGCGTTTCGACTATTTAAGTGTGGGGAATAGCAGGCTTGCTGCTTTCCCTCACTCGCTTTTACCCCTCCGTACGAGGAGTGGGATAGAGCCGACTGAAGTATAGTTCATTATTATATTACGAGAGTCTCGTGACTAGTAAGACGAGAAAGTAGCATTCATTTTGTAATACTAAATATTATATTATAATAAATTATATTGTTGAGTTTAAGCAAAATGTGTTAAATTTATCCTGAACACTATAATGGGAATATTCATAAATATTAATTATTTATTCAACTAAAGTTCCCACAATTGGTGACCCCGACGTGATCGGAATAGCGTCGTGGAAAATTGAATCTACAAATATCATGGGAAATGAAATCAATCCGTACACAATATTAAATCGATTGATACAAAATATTTTTATAAATTTTTTTCCCATGAAATCGTGAAGTGCTCAATATTTATTATTACGAATTTTCAACTATTCATGTATGAGCACATGTTTTTACCTCAACGACGCCATGTTTAATTTACCGGTAAACTCACATCAGGCTATTCTCAACCTTCGAAGAATCCTAAATTCTTAACAACTCAACCTAAAAATACAAGAATATTTTCGTTCGAAGATTTTTTGTTATCCTGTGTGACCAACATCGACAACCATTATACTGCAGTGACGAATGTGATGCCCGAGACCGGATGCCGCCAAAGAGACCAAGAACCTGTTCATTTTTGAAAATGGAATTTCATCACTAAGAAATTGACTCCTGGTTCCGGTTATGGTGAGACAAGCTGTCACAAATATTTTACGCTTTTTGAAAACAGCGCATGGGCAACTCTATTCTGAGCCCATGCAACAGGTGCGTAACGCAATCAAAACCTGTTTTGCAAAATAATAGTTTTCAGATTTCCTTTCCCTCAAATTTGTTTCTCCTTTTTCTTTCATGAAAAAAGTTCAATTGACGCCTGGAGTGAGGAGTGATGCTGAGAGCTTCCTGTGGACTTTTTGACGATCTATATAAAAAAACGAAGTCTTATTTCAGGACTTTTATATCAAAAAAACATCCATGGATTTCGCCATCCTCATCACCGGTCATTTCTTCGTGGAGAGGGATTATGCAGCATATGGAACCATCGCGTTTTGGGAGTCGTTGCCTTGTGTTATTTATTGTTCGTGAGTAATATGAATGTCCTCGATCATAACCTTTCTTATTTACATTGGCGAATTCGAGTAATAATAATTTTCGCAAAAGTCCAATTTAACCCTTTAAAGCCCGAATTATTTCCACCGATTCGATTTCAACCACACTTGGTATATAATGGTATATAATCTGAAGTCAAAATTGCAAAATTCAAAATGGCGGATCCAATATGGCGGACGAAAAAATAAAAAATAATGGGATTTATATGAAACTTGTCACTCGGGGGTTTTTGGGGTCGCTGATTACGAATATGAAGTCGAAATTGCAAAATTTAAAATGGCGGATCCAATATGGCGGACGAAAAAATTAAAAATTAATAAGACTTATATGAAACTTGTCACTCGGGGGTTTTTGGGGTCGCTGATTACGAATATGAAGTCGAAATTGCAAAATTTAAAATGGCGGATCCAATATGGCTGATAAAAAAAAATAAAAAATAATGGGATTTATATGAAACTTGTTACTCGGGGGTTTTCGGGGTCGCTGATTGCGAATATGAAGTCAAAATTACAAAATTCAAAATGGCGGATCCAAAATGGCGGACGAGAATTAAAAATTAAATAGGATTTACTTGAATATTGTTACCAGCTGACTATCATTTGTTCTATTTCATTCAAGTCATGCGCTCCAGGGTTGTCAATTGTTTTTATTGATTGGCCAGCTGATTTTCATTTGTTCTTTTTCGTTCGAGTCAAGCGTTCCAGGTTTCCTTTCACAAATGGATTAAATATCTTACTTTTATTAAACATAATTCGCTCTATTAAATCCACCATTATGATTCTTAACATTTTAACCTCAGAAACCCCAAAAACTCAAAGCATCAAATTTAATGTCAATCCCATTAATTTGTTATTTTTTTGTCTTTCATATTGTATCCGCCATTTTGAATTTTGCAATTTTGACTTCATATTCGTAATAAGCGACCCCAAAAACCCCCGAGTGACAAGTTTCATATATCTCCCATTATTTTTTTGTCCTCCATATTGGATCCGCCAAATTAAATTTTGCAATTTTGACTTCATATTCGTAATCAGCGACCCCAAAAACACCCGAGTGACAAGTTTCATATAAATCCCATTATTTTTATTTTTTTTGTCCGCCATATTGGATCCGCCATTTTGAATTTTGCAATTTTCACTTCATATTCGTAATCAGCGACCCCAAGAACCCCCGAGTGACAAGTTTCATATAAATCCCATTAATTTTTATTTTTTTTGTCCGCCATATTGGATCCGCCATTTTGAATTTTGCAATTTTAACTTCATATTCGTAATCAGCGACCCCAAGAACCCCCGAGTGACAAGTTTCATATAAATCCCATTATTTTTTATTTTTTCGTCCGCCATATTGGATCCGCCATTTTGAATTTTGCAATTTTGACTTCATATTCGTAATCAGCGACCCCAAAAACCCCCGAGTAACAAGTTTTAATCGAATCTGATTAATTTTTTAAAATTTTTTTGTCCGTCATAGGAGAAAATGTATCTTGACACTTTTTTTATTTATTATTATTTTAATTATTTATTATTATTTTTTTACTTTTGTTTTTTTTAATTATCTGCTGGAAGAGTTTTACTAGAGCTAAGAATTTAAAATTTGTAGTAATATGTACTAGTTTCAAAGTTATGATGACTTTAATGCATTTGTGGTACAGCGTATGTACCACTGGGCGTTAAAGGGTTAAGTTGTTTGACGCGTTTAAACGATTTCTTTAGTGAAAAATAATATTTGATAAAATTTTATTTTTTGATTTATTTGGTCGAAATAATACAAATTTTGCGCATTTCATTTTAAAGTTTATTTACAAAATGCGTATTGTTTTAAATACACCTAATTGTATCGACAATTTTATTTGGTTATGTCTGATCATTTTTATTTCACAATTAATAATTTTTAATTCGAAATTTATTAACGATTTGATCAAATTTTTTTTCTAAAATTAATCGCGTTATATTAAAACATTTTGTTTTTAATAAACTATTTTATTTTCGATTTCAACGTCTAAAAGCACTGTGTGTGTGATGTTTTTGTATTGCGAATTATATTACTCTTAGTAAATGTTTCGTCTTTTTGTTTTGTTTCTCGGACATTAAACGTCTTTACATTTTTGTAATTTATTTTTATTATCGGCGAAGGAATATCATTCGTATATAATAATTTTATTTATTTATTTTTTTCTTTTCGATCGTTATAATGACTGACACAGAGAAACCGGAAACTTCGAACAATAGCTCACTGAATCAGAATCAGGGGGCGACCGATCCGAATCGAGAGCATGTTGATGCATCATATCGTATTCCAAAAATTTGTAGTTTTTTTCGCAACGAGCCCGCATTATGGTTTGCTCAAGCGGAACTTTTATTCGACTATGCCCATCTTACATCGGAGAGAGCTCGAGCTGGTGCCATTATGGCTGCCATGGATTGCGATGTCATCCAGGTTATTGGGGATCTTATTGTATCGGCTGAACCTATTCCGAATCTCTATACGCAAATTAAAAAAAGATTAATTGAAAATTTTTCGTCCTCACCGAGAGTGAATTACGCGGTATTTTAAAGGGAGAAATTATCGGCGACGGAAAACCTTCTGCCATTTTAAATAGAATTCGTCACCTTAGTCGTAATCGGTGCAGCGATGATGTTATTCGTATAATATTTTTGGAACATATTCCGGCGAATTGTCGGGCTATTCTTGCCTTATCGGAAACCAACGATCTCGCGAAACTCGCTACAATAGCCGATAAGATTGTCGATGCGGGACCTGTTTATGGTGGATCGGTGTCGTCTATCGAAAATGATAACGATTTTAAAAGTAAATTGAACGAAATATCTCAACGCCTTGACTCATTATCGACGGGAAATTTTAAAAATAACGGAAATTATAATCAAAACCGTAATAGATCACGATCTCGATCCCGATTTGATTCGAATAAATCGCACGGTCATAAAAAAATCGATCTCAAAGCCGTAATAATAGAGAGAAAATTTGTTATTATCATAAAAAATTTAGCAACAACGCTAATAAATGCAGACCACCTTGCGCTTTCGTTAAGTCATCGTCGGAAAACTAGATTCGCCACCTCACACAATCAAGATCGACTCTACTTCCATTTCAAAACGCCTTTTCGTAAGGGATCGAGAATACGGATTAACCTTTTTAGTTTATTCCGGTTCTGATATATCCTTGATACTGGCCGATCATAAAACTAAAAGAAAACATGCCCAATCAACTTTATGCCGCGAACGATTCGATAATAAATGCATATGGCGAACGTCGCATGTCATTAAATCTTGGTTTTAGTCGTTTGATAGTGTGGAATTTTAGAATAGCATCTGTGCCCTATCCTATTATAGGGGCAGATCTATTGTCAGCATACGGTGTAAACGTAGATCTTCGTGGACGCAAATTAATTGATTCTCATTCCGGAATTAATACAATTTGTGACGTAGGATTGGCATCTTGTATTGGAGTGAGTGTGGTGGATAAGTATAATAATTATATGAAAATACTAACCCAATTTCCATCTCTAACGGGTTCGCCTCAGTCTGGAAAAATTTTGTCACAGGGCATTATGCATCACATTATTACTAATGGACCTCCGGTAGCTGAGAGGGCTCGTAGGTTATCACCTGAAAAGTTGATTGTTGCTAGGGATCATTTTCGTGAAAAAGTAAAGTCTGGTAAATATCGTCAGTCAAGTGCATCGTGGGCTTCGTCACTTCACATGGCTTCTAAAAAAGGTGGTGGTTGGAGATTATGTGGCGACTACCGTCGTGTGAATGCTCATACAGTACCGGACAAATATCCTGTCCCTTTTGTACAGGATGTCTCAACAATGCTATTTGGTAAAAAAATCTTCTCCAAATTGGATCTCCACGCTGCGTATAACCAGATACCTATCGCACCAGATGATATCCCTAAAACCGCCATTATCACACCATTTGGCTTGTTTGAGTCAACGGTAATGACATTTGGTTTGAGGAATGCGGGTGCAACCTTCCAGCGTTACATTCATAAAGTCTTAGGTGATCTCGATTTCGTTTTCTCATATATTGATGATATTTTGATTTCTTCGGTAACTGAAGAGGAACATGAACATCATTTGAGACTCGTTTTCAATCGTTTGAGTGAAGCTTCTCTTTGCCTCAATTTGGATAAGTGCGTTTTTGGTCGTTCTGAGGTGGAATTTTTGGAATATTCAATCAATAAAGACGGTGTCAAACCTTTTCCCGATAGGGTTAAAGCAATCCTCGATTTCCCTAAACCTCGCAATATTCTCAAATTAAGACGATTTTTAGGCTTGATAAATTTCTATCGAAAGTGTTTACCGCGAGCAGCTGATTGTCAGAAGGCGTTGAATGCATATCTGCATAACTCTAAGAAAAATGATAAAAGGGAAATTCACTGGAATCCGGATTCGGAAAAGGCTTTTGAAGATTGTTGAACAAATGTCGCAAACGCTGCACTCCTCGTGCATCCATCATCTGCTTCTTCGACTCGTGTCGTGACAGACGCGTCCGATACGGGTATGGGAGGTTCTTTGGAGCAATTTCAGGATAGCTGCTGGAAGCCCTTAGCATTCTTTTCCCGAAGATTCAGTCCAACGCAGAGAAGATATAGCACTTATGATAGGGAGTTGACCGCGGCATTCGAATCAATAAAATACTTCCAACATTTCGTCGAAGGTAGAGAATTTTCTTTAGTCACAGACCATAAACCTCTAATTTATGCCTTCAGCCAAAAATCTGACAAAGCCTCCCCAAGTCAGTTAAGACAATTATCTTATATTTCTCAGTTTACTACTTCTTTGGAATACTTACCTGGAGAGAAGAATGTAGTCGCGGATTGTTTGTCTCGTGTTGATCTTATACGTTTGGCGTCGGACGTGAGCTTATTGGAATTATCAGCAGCGCAGAATAAAGACCCAGAACTTCAAATTCTTTGCCAAGACAAATCCACTTGTCTTAATTTAAAGC